AGTAGTAGTAGTAGTAGTAGTAGCAGCAGCAGCAGCAGCAGCAACAGCAGCAATAGTAGTAGCACTAGTAGTGGCTGTAGTAGTAGTAGTAGTAGTAGTAGTAGTAGTAGTGGTGACTGCGACAGTGGTATCAGCAGGAAAAGCCACCGTGGAGACGTAGTCACCATGACAGGTGGAATGTCTGCCTTCTTTCGCGCTTCGCTGGAATCGGGAGCAGCCGATGCCTCTTGCAGGTGGAACAGGACATCAAGACGGTGCGCTACTGTAAAGATCTGAGACTGTTTCAGTCATGTCGAGGTCACCGGTGTGTCCGTAATAAGATGCTGGCTGCCGCGCTGGAAGAGGATTGCCCCATTGCTGCCACAATCCTGTAGAGAGCTCTCTTATGAATAGGCTGTGACGTGGGTGCTGTGTCAAACGGAGCTTACTACCTTAATTAGCAACTGCAGGACTGGTACGACTGCTTGCTGACGAACGGACAGGTGGCAGGCGCATGGTCGCGGATGAGTCGCAACAATGTCAGACTGTTGCTATCAGATTTTGATCCTGCTGGTGGGGCGTGCATATGCATCAAATAGACACCTTTCCAAAGCCGGGGCTTTGTCGCCATGGGGAACATGGCATCGCTTGCGCTCAGACGGCGATCTGCATCTCTGAGCTCATTTTCGTGAAACACAACATAAAAGGAAAGCTTTCCAAACCAAAATCAAAAGCGAGTAAGGGTGGGCTGTGGTGGCTCCATGGTCACGAAATCATCTGCCACTTCTTCATGCCTCGACTCGATAAGAACGATGTGTCCGTAAAGTGTTGTTCTTGATCGGTCAACATAAAAGGAAAGCTTTCCAAACCAAAATCAAAAGCGAGTAAGGGTGGGCTGTGGTGGCTCCATGGTCACGAAATCATCTGCGACTTCTTCATGCCTCGACTCGATAAGAACGATGTGTCCGTAAAGTGTTGTTCTTGATCGGTGTTGGCAACTCTTTCGGCAGATTCCATACTAAGTCCTACAAGTGGAAATATCAGGAGATTCGACCAGGGGATATACTGCAAATCCGAACAAGCACGCCCGTTTCTCTCGAAGCGAGCTGATTCCACCCTACTGCATGTAGCCGCCACTGGTGCAGTGGTTGCCACTCAGCTGCGGCTTGCCAAAGAGGTTCGCCTGCTGAGAAACAGAACAATAATTCGGATCTAAACCCTTATGATGCACAGGCTTCCGCGCTTTGGACGGCATGATGATGGGAGGTTGAAGTTTAGGCTGTCGTGAGCTTGGAGGGCATGGGTTTGAGTGAGGTTGGTTCAAAGAGGCGCCTCTTATCTCGCAAGAGATGCTTCAATATCCTTAAAGCACAGGGCCGGGCTAGCGAGTCGTCGCGCATCACAAAACGATGCTGCGCCTGCGGGGCCGTGACGATTTGTCCCTGGATTTGACAACCCTGTCCATGGTGCGTGTGTGGTGCCGTGACGACTCGTGTTCGGAATTGACAACCCTCCCCGTGTTTCCGTATCCTCTGGCGATCTCTTGCGATCCATTGCACTGTTTTCAATTTTCACTGTGTCGATATGCCTCCGCGACCATGGGGCGAGAGGCGACCGGATTTGCCAACAGGGCAAGCTTTGTAGTGTTGCTCGCTTCTCGCATGCTGAAGGCTCCAGCCAGGCTCCAGATCACAGATTCGGACTATTCACACTTCCACACACAAATCAGAGGCAATAAACCCTACATCCTAGCAGGCTTGTGCAGGCTTCATGCCACAGACCCGCCCACAATTCAGCAGCAACATATCCCACAGATTTGAATCCTTAATGTCACTAACCCACCCAGAAGGCAAGAAGCAATTTGGTGCGCAAGGACGCATGGTTACTGCAGTCTGTCCGACTGCTCACATGCCACTGTTCAAGCGACTTACATGATCAATGGAAACGCAGGTCTGACCTGAACGCCTCCCCGAGGCTCACAACACAGTACAGGGGACGGCTGAACACAGTCGACGATTAATTGTGTCAGGTGGGCGGCTTGCATCTCGCCTTGGGTGCCCTCCGGCTCAGGAAGGCTTCTTCACTCCGGTTTACGTGCAGACAGGCAACACAACGGGCCAGAGCAGGCTCGAGCCACAACCGTCCGAACATGCAGCTGAAACCCTTCCTTCCAAGCTCGGGGCAGCCTCCTGCGTTGCCACGGCTATGCGTTGCAGGAGTGTGGCATCGACTTGTTGCTCCTAGCGGCTCTGCAGACTTGCAATCTTTACCAAACCTGATGACAAGCGTTGGCCCCGTAGCCCGTGGAGGCTTCACTTCGTGGCTTTTTGCAAAAATGTCGGAAAGCACTCGAAACCAGCGCCACTCGAGCAGACCCTCGACATCACGGCCCGTGTCCGTGTGAAAGCGCCTGCCCACCAACTTACGGAGCTGCCTGCTTGGCCAAGTAGGTAGCAAGAGCACTTTGGAGATCCAGCTCCGCGAGGGGATCCTTGCCTGAGGCTCGGGGTTCAGTTGGAATATTCTCCTCGCGTGCTACAAATGCGGCGCTAGAATCCGCTAGAAAGGCACACCGTCCGTAGCAGTATACTCAGTACATTTTGCAGGCAAGCGAAACCTAATTGTCGGCTAATCGCTTTCTGGGGCTGCAGCGCTCTAGAACCTGCGCAGAGAGAGCCGACAGCTGAAACTGCACTATGCTGGAGCTGCTGGCGCCGGTGGAATTGCAACATGTTTGTGTGCAGAAAACACGGCGCATTCCAAACTTCCCAGCTAAGCCCACAGCATGCAGTCCCCCAACCGTCCCTCACAGCCCTCCATGGCCCTGGCTGATGAATAGAACAAAATGGGATCAACGGAATCCGCAACCCTTGGTACACACAGAGGCAGAAAGAGGGAGAGAGAGATAAACAGACTGCAAACGGACAAAGGCCCGTTGGATACCGTGCCTGAGCAAAACTCGTCTGTCTCTGTGCTGTCGCGGCAATTCGAGGTCTGGCCCAGATTTAGGGGCAATCTGCGGAGTACTTTCAGTATAGAAAGTCTCAAACACTGGGAACAATGTCGCGCGCTGTCGAGATTCACATCCTCGTGTTCAACAGAAGATAAACCGCGATCAGAAAGAATTCGGAAATAATTTGGCACATTCCATCGCCTGGTGCTGCTCCAACCAATACAAGTTCGAGTAGCAGCAGGTAATGCAACTCGTACGCAAGTTACAAAAGCTGTTGCTCACCTGTGCTTCGCACAGGAGATGCAGGAACATGCCAATGATGGACAAGACTTCAACATGAAAACCAGGGATAGCCCCCTGTGCGCCAAATACTGTTGAAAAAGGTCAGTCGGCATTGATCAGGCCTGGGTTCAAAAGCCGGCTGTAGATTACTGGGAGCATTGCCCAGGTGAGCGCAGAAGGAGCAGCCGCGGCCAAGTTACCAGGATTCTGCTATAACGGCGAGGCTTCACAGGAGCGATTCTGTAGGCATGCCAGTCCTCCCATGTGGAGACCTGGCCGGAAAGTTTCGGCTTTCTCAGGTGTCAGACACTTCCACTCCGGAATTGTGCCATGCAGCCAAGGCACGCAGGTCCGACACCTCATCCTCCTCCATGTCGTTGAGCTCTCTCACGAAGACGCGTGCATACATGTAGACCTTACTGCGGACCTCCTTGTGCGCGGATACCAGCTCTATTAAGGCTTGGTGGCTCAGGCACAAGAGGGTGGCTGGCGTCTCAGACATCGCCTTTCCCATGTAGTGCCATGATGTCCAAAGGCAGGCCTCACACAGCCAATCTCCTGCTTCCAGTTGTGAGGCGGACAAAGGCTGCCGGCCGTCCATGGGAAGAATCGACGCCCAGGATCGCCGTCGAAAGCTGCTCGACACAACCGGCTTTGACACCAGCTCGGCTGACGCCCCCCGCATGCTACGATACCAGATGGTACCACGAGCCACAATCAGCATGCTCGTACAGGTTGGACCGGCTGAGAAGAGGGTTTCGTGGGGCGACAGGTTCCAATCCGACAAGGCCTTGTGACATAAGTCGTATTGCAAGGCCACAAACCCACCAAGCAGCCCCCCGAAAAACTCATGCTTGGCAAGAACAGGGGAGAGAGCCTCACGGCACAACTCACGATACAAATATTCCGGCAGTACTTTATCCATGTCCTCCTTGCTGGGCACCAGCGCGGTTCGTGTACTCCGTTGCAAGCATTCCCTCATGCCGCTCTCTAGCTCCCAAGAGACTGGGAAGGTTGATAGGTAATCCTCAACTTGATGCTGCGCTTCAGACCGTGTTCGGTGCGCCCGGCGAATATCGGAGAGTTCGTTGGTTATAATGGATGTGAAAACTGAACCAATGAGAATCGCAAGGCCTGTTGCCAGCAATGCAAGTATCCTCTCTGTCTGTGTGCTCAGGAGCATGTTTTCAGTCGTCCGTGACGCAGGCATACGGGACAGGGCCCATTCAATAGTCTTCAGATATTGCTCTGGCACTGACAATGTTTCCAGGCCACTCCCAGCAATCCAACCATCAGGCAGGGAGCCCACCGCAAACCAAAGGCATGTCGTGTAATGTAAGAACATTGCACACCTGAGCTGGAGATTTGCAACTCTTGAAATTCCAGGCTTCGAGGTGGAAGTCAGCAGAAGGATCCGGAACATCCTCGTAACTGCAAGCGAGCTTCGCAACCAGATTTATCAAGAACATGCTTATGCCATGCGCTTCGCGCGTATGCTGACGATTCCACCGGCGGACGCTCCTGTTGTCAGTGAGCAGCATGCGGGCCGTGCGCTTACAAAGTTCAATCTCTGCAAGTTGAAAACATAGGCAACACTCATTGACGAGGCAGCACTACCCCCGACCAGGCCTTGGCAAACCCGAAAGTGCATATAGCTTTGGGAGATGTCGAAGGCGTGTTAGTTGCAAGCCTCCCGATGTTCAGCCAGATAGGAAAGGAACAAGCGAGGCTGCCACGCAACATGCATCCGACATCATCCAACATGTGGGGACCGGCAGCCTGTAGCTGTGCTGTGACCTATTTGCTACGAGTCTCAGTATAAATGCGGCATCACCCGAGGCTCATCAATCAAGTCATAGCAAGCGCATCCAATAGCAGGACGGACTAAATACCCTCCGCACCGTATTCCATACGAGATCTCTGTAGTTTTCCGAGCCCTGACAACTGGAGCCCTTCTTCAAGACTCCGGCAGTCGGCAAACTCTTACTTAGACAATGCCACAACATGATTTCTGGAATCCAGCTGAAGTCGTTTCCACAAGGCTGATCGACCGAGTCGCCGTGCCTGCAATAAACAGTGAAACAACACTGTCGAGCAGCTGGCAGCATGGAACACTAGTTGCCTCTTGAAGACTGTCAGATTACGGTCAATATGTAGCGAATGTGGCACACAGCTTCCATCTGCCAGGGCCTTGACAGAGCGTCTTCAATTCCAGCGGAAGCGGAATCGCCAGATCCTCAGACTCTGACGCAATCTTGCAATGTTCAGATATGTTCAAATCGTACGGGAAGCCGAACGTGCAATTGAAGCGTTGCTGGAACAAATGTGCCTTTCCGCTTCGGTGCGATTGTTGCCTCAAGTCGACCTGCAGTGCATGTACAGTGAAGGGAGACACAATTTTGCCAAGGGTCCAGGAGCAGCAAGGCAATTAGAAGCGTCTCAACTGCAGCTGCTCTGAATGCCGCAGCTGAAGACGAGACATGGCCAGTCCATCGATATGCTGCCACCGGGAGTGTCATCACCCAAAACAATGCCTCAGCTGGCAGGCCAGACACAGATCCTGCATGATCCTGCTAGCCTTGCTGTGTCTATGTCTATGTGCAGCCAAGTAGCTGTCGTCAGACTGATTGCATCCACCCAGTGGATTTCTCTTGGCAGAAAGGCCACCAAGGGCAAGGCCGCAGCATGAAGAACAAGACTGAGAATTGCAACTACAGCCCACAAACGAGCCATGCTGGGTTGCCCGGACATGTCGTTTGCCCTGAGGTTTAAGGTATCTGAAGGCAAAGATGACTGACATCGACTCGATTTGGACACCTGCTCTTCTCCAAGTCTGCGCCAAGCATTGTGCATGTCGAAGCGCTGGCTCGCGACAGAGGCTTCTGAAGGAAAGTCTTCTTCCTTGTCCTTCTTGCCTCCTTCTTCTTGCCCCTCAATGAAGGAAACGCTTCGTTGCCGCGAGCGAGGTTCGACTTGACAAGGCTCGATAGATGGCAATGACGCGCTGTGAATGAGGGCGGCCGTTTGCGCCGGCGGCTCGTGGAGCACACCGTTGCTCAAGCTTGGAGCAGCCGAGATGGCGTAGAAGTTGGAGAAGTCCGAGTGTATGCGGCTCGGATAGTCTTCGCCGCTCTCATTCCGCTTCGCCACACGGCACTCCACATGAACGTCGTGAGCGGCTAGGAGCTTCCTCAGATGAAAAAGAACAGTGCTCCCAGGTTCTCCCGGCACCAGTGGGAAGGAAGCTTACATACTGCGGTCCGATGCAGCGTGTGCAGGAACAGAATACAAACTTTCGAAGAGCCATAACAGCAACAGGCAGACACAACAGAATCAATATTCATAGTCGCGACCGTAGCCAAATACGACTCAGGGATTGCACGCCCTCGCCTGCCGTACCCAATAGCACCACAAATATTACTCCTGCTTTTGCTGCTTCTGTCTAGTTCTGAGGATGGCTCACCTTCTTCACTCCCACCCTCAACTCCATCCCCACATCGTCCCTGCCCATTTCCGCCCTTGAGATTTGCTCGGAAGAGCATCAGTCACCGGATCGCCACCAGCAAACAGCGGCAACAAACCCAACTGCGACGACAGTATTAGCGCAATATGTATCCGTGACACCCGCCCACGACCATGCCCCTTTTAAATTCAATCCTTCTTTGCGGCTGGGGCTCGTCAGTAGCGTCTCCTTAGTTCAAGCACTTGTCAGGTTTCCCCTTCCGAAGCGGTCTCGGAAAAGGAAAAGAGTGCAGCTAGCGACTAAGTCACTAAGGGTTTTGCAGGCCGGCCTGCTGTTGAAGTGGCTTCTCTGTTCCGAAACTATAGGTAGACTTGTTATGGGTATTGCAGGTTCGTGATTAGACGTGGGACATGTTCCGAATGCATGTTGGCTTCGCGAACTTATTGTTGTGCTGCGCATTGCAGCTCTACCGAGTATTGCACTTCGTCGTAGGAACGCAGTTTACTCTTATTGTTATGATTTTCTGCATCGTCTTCGTCCATGCGCTCTGTCGGCAATATTAACTGTGTCATCATGCAACAGCTTGTCCAGCTTCTCCTCTCTTCTTGCAGGCTTTGAGTGGAGGCCGTGAAGCCGTGCCTTTGCCAATAGGAGCATTTCCTGTCCGCTACACGGCTGCATAAGCCGGAGGAGAGAGCAACACAGCATAGCCCTTTTTTCTCAGAAGCTTGGTCCCTTCACCGGCAAACTCCAAGTAGGGTGACGCTGAGCGGCGATCTCTGAAAGAACCTTTGGCAACGTGATTTCCTCTTCCATGGCAGCTGGGTACTGTATCCTCAGGCTACCAGGCAAGCCGGCCTGTCTCGAGACACTTTCCGGGTGCTATGCATTCTGAGCTTGAGCTGAACAAGACATGTGCATCTAGATTGACAGTCAAAGCTTTGTGTTGGGCTTGACGCCGTTCAACGCTCACCTGCTTGACTAGCTTCCTTCTTGAAAACTTCCATGTTAAAAAGACATGTAAAAAGTATATACGACCTCTCATAGCTACCTAGTCCTGAGCCCACCCCCGCAGAGCGATTTCTTGAAGCGAAAGGAGTTGGCTGTGAATCATGGTCTTTGGAGCAAGTGAGGTTGAGTCCAAGGCAAACATGCCAATTCACCGTTCGGGCTTCAAGAGAAGATGTCTCCATGCCGGTCTCCAGATTTCTTTCCCCTCAGCTGAGTGCTTGCAGCCTCGGAAGCTTCACAACGAATTCAAGAATCCTTCGATCAGCTACAGGGCCTTGCTGCACACCCCTCACATGCAAATTCTGTATCTTGCTTCCGTGAGAGTAGCCTTGATGACACAAAAAGAACTTGCATGCGCCGCATGCGTCTCACCTAAAGCGTGGCAATCTACTGGTGACCTTACGACTGTACTTCGCAACTCGATGCACAGCTCACTTGGACTCTTCGCGCCACTCCGAGAGCCAAAAGACTGAGCTGCTTGCACTCGCACCAGGCCCTGAGCAAGGCTCGGGCTTGGACTTGCAGTCTCTGTGGGGACTTGTCGCAACAGCCTTGGAGCAAGTGCCCCAGTTCTGCCAGCAGGGGCTTCAGGGTGGCGTCCATGCCCTCGGGTGGGCGGAGGATCACCACCACTGACTTCGTCAATGATGCCGCCTCAGCATCGAAACAAGAGAGTCCAGGAATGCGCTTTCAGCTCGCAACCTGGAGGGACCTAGAGCACAAGTCGACGGTTTTGAATGGAGTCGCTCCATCTTCCATCTGCTGACGAGAAGCACTGGGCTTGCGGAGCTGGAATTCGGCCACCAACAGGTCCCCAACATCCTGGCACACGAATGAGCACGGCAAGAGTTGCTGGGTAATGCACTGTTTGCCCGCTGTCCAGCTGGAAAAGCTGCGTGTAAAGACTCTGCATCTGGTCGGAGGTAAAGCTTGGATACCACACCTGACCACGCATGGAAAAGCGACACGGCCCAAGGCTCCCTACATGCATGGATTTGACTCTGGGCCGGAGTAGTCTAAACTGCGGTTTGCTTCAGGTTCGCTCAGATTTTTCCGGACCAGATCGCAAGTTGCGGCATGCCCTATTCTGGACGCTGCTCTACAATTCTAGCTGCTCGCTGCTTGTGCTGCTTCCCGACTACTTCTGCATGACAAGGCGCAGCAACACAGAAGCGCGAGAATTCGTGCAAGTGCCTGCCCAAACAGAAAGAAGTTTTCCGGACTCGCCTCTCACGCTTACCGTCATTTGTCACCTCTCTCACAAAGTGCTTCCAAAATCAACATGCCTCAGGAGGAACAAATTCCAAGCGGTGTACTCGTTGTATGGCTCGTATGGGGGATCCATGAAGATCAACCCGTTGCCCTGCAGGTCCTGTCCAGCACAAGGACCAACGTCGTATTCTGCATCGTTCTAGGCGTGTTCCAAAAACACCCAGCACAGGAACACGTGCTGTCATCACATGTATGATTTCATGCGGACAAAGCTGTCGCCAAAACTTGGGAGCATGCATCCTCTTCCATGTGGTGAAGAAGCCACCAATACGAATTTTCCTTAGACGATTACCAGAGGCGTCTGTGAACAAGCATCATGATGCTTAAGCTTCGGCTTGTGTTCTGCAAGCTTGCCGGGCATCTGCAATCAGCTTGACTCTGCCGCTTCCGATGCCCGATTTGAAGAACAATGCCTCATCGGCTGGCTGATCCGAGACTTACGAACCACGACAGCACATCGAACGTCCATGCACAATTTGCAGAATTCCGTCAGCATCTGAATAGTGGTTTCCTGACACAAGACGATTTTCTGAACAGTCTTGGCATCAATACATACATTCATGCATCCGTACGCACCACGAAGATGTAAATATACATGTGTATACAATATGGATCGCATGGAAAAGCAGGTAACAGGTAGGTAGACAGTCTTCCCTGACGGCGACCCTCGCGAACACATGTCACACCACCTGCATCTGTCTTCACTCATGCATCAATATATGGTGTGGTTTATGGACCTTGCATCTATGCGGTCTATAGAGATCGCGTAAGCACTTTGAACCAAATGTTGTGTCGAACTTTCTGCGTGGTGTGTGTATACATATATATCCACATTACAAACACGTGTATCCACGTATATATATATATATGGTGCCCCCCCCCTCATGTACCTACCTTTTCTGGTGTTCTTCACTTCCTTAGCTTAGCTTATTTAAGGGGAGGGGGGACGGGTGAACATTGTTTGGTAGCCTACCTTTTCTGGTGTTCTTGACTTCCTTACCATATACGGCGCTTTGCTTAG